TAAAAATGTTGCTGTTTCTGTTAAGAACACTTTAGTCCTAATGATCTATAAGTGTCCAGAAGCTATCGCAGGTAAGCTCATATGGAAAAAAGGGAAAAATCAGCATAAAAATCAATAAAAATCAATAAAAGAAGCAAAGCATTTAAAGAGCAAAGAGATGAAGCGTCCGCACTCACAAAAGGGGGAGGAGTAAGGCCTCAGTGGATATCTTGGGATACTTGTGGATAAGTCACTAACCAAATTTAATCCATCCGTCTTCTTTTGCTTATCCAGGGACTGTCACCAATCAAATTTAATGAGCAGGAGAAAAAATTGTACATGTGAGGACAAGAAATGACAAAAAAAAGACATTAACAAAAAAAAGACACCCTTCCCCCATAATCTTTTATTTACAATATTGTATTTGGTGAAAATGTTCTGATTGTTCACACGTTATTTTCTTTTGTTGTTGTAAAATAATGTGTGCGCCAGTCTCCAACAAGACATAGCGCTGGAAGAGTAGTTATTCTCTGTTACATCACAAGAGGGAGTATCTCCTGAAATGAGCAGCTGAAGTGGGAGTAAACGAGCCAGGCCACTAACCTAATGCAGTGCGCCTAACAAAAGCTGTGTGAAAGTGTGTACAAGCGTGTAACAATATACTACTATGGCTATATATTTGCACTTAAGCAGATAAAAATAGTAAATAACTTGACCTTGGTCTTAAGATAAGTCCACATGGTTGCAGGGAATGTGGGAAAGTTGGCTGTTAATTCCCATTATGTGTGGTTAGTGTATATTTATTGTTAGCAATGTAGATTAGCCATGAAGCTACCGGTTAGCAGCTAGAGCTAATTTGCCAGTTTGTGTGGAAACCTCGTGGCACTGTGGTGGATGTCTACCTGTACTGGGCTGTAATCACAGTTAATTCAGGGAATCACACTTTTGTTTAGGTTTATTTCGTTTATGCTACTGTAAGAAGTATTGGTGTTTTGAGTTTGAAACAAGCCAGGCAACTCACCATAATACAGTGCGCCTAACAAAAGCTATGTCAGATGGTGTACAAGTGTATAAAAATGTCTATATATTTGCAGAAGTTACAGTAAAGGCGGACTCACATGCTGGTTTCAATTCCTTTTAATCTAAGTGTGCAACATACAACAAGAATTGCATTTTACAGAATTCTTCATGTGAAAGTTATCCATGTTTTATTTGTGTAACACAAAGTCACTCATAATGTGACCTCTGCTAAATGTAGCAATGTAGTTTTCATCTGTTGTTTGCAAAGTTAAACAACCAACTGGGCAAAGATCTAAGGCTTCATAGGGTCCATAGTGCAGTGCTATCTGGGTCTAGATAATTAAATACATACTAATAAGTCTCCACGATTAAAGAAGAAGAACAACTATGCTGCACTATTCTTTTAATCCTGATGCTGCTGAAGGCCTTTTTAAAGCTTCTTTAAATAACTGAATTGTTGTAGTTTTAATTGAGTTCATTTGATTTATATTTCTGTTTTATTAAAGTGATTTGTTTCTTTTTATTTTTGAATCAGTTCATTTACAGAATCCTCTTTAAGATTGTTTTATTTCATTGCCGAAGCATTATTAGGCTGCAAATAATTGTTTTCATAAGACAGACTTGTAAATTATTTATTTATGTATTTTTATGATCAGTGACTTTTTAGTAGAATATGCTGTGCAATCAGTTTGTGTGGTGGTTCTCAAAGTAAGTTTCAATACAGTTTAAGCACAGATTAACTGTGATGGATATTTTAGATATATACGTATACACATGTTAACAATGACATGCACCTGTAACCAGATGATGTTTGAAGCCTAATTATCTTCCTGATGTGATTTATTTCTCTCCTCTCTCTCTACACACACATATATGTGTGTATATATATATATATATATATACACAGCACCAAAATTATAATGGCTTAAATATCTACATAAATATTTTAAGAAGTGGTGCTGAAGGTTCTACAGGTCCAAGATCAGTTAAAACAATTGTATTTAAATACAGGTTATTCTGATGTGTCACCAAGATCTAAAGGAAGACTTAAGTTGTCACGTTCAAATGAAAACTGACTGTACATCTGCATCATTAATGTTTGTGTCATTCATGGAAGGACACTAGCTGCTGGGAGATTTCAAGTGACATAATAATGAGTATACACACTTTGTACTTTCTGACACTATTTCTATGCATTTGTTTCGTTTACAAGATTTGCCTGATGATTTTTTTTTTTTCATTTTAACCTTCAAGTATCAGTTCAAAATGTTTTAGAAATGTTAAAGAAAACACAAATGCATAAAGTACATTTTTTAAAGGAGCAAATTTTAAAATATTTGAGAAAAAATAAAAAGACTGTTGTTTATGAAACTATATTTTTTGACCGAACTCTCGGTGAATATGTGGAAGTATTGTGAAAGTTTAAAGAAAAACTGGGCTGTGCTATTTTTTTCATCACCTAAGAGAACAAGACCAAAGCGATCAGCGGTGCCACAAAGCATACAAGGATGGTACTTGTTGATTTGCCAGCAGTTGTGCTGCTGGGCTGTGATCCTGTTGTTGTGCCAGCAGTTGTGCCAGCAGTTGTGCTGCTGGGCTTTGATGCTGTTGTTGTGCCAGCAGTTGTGCTGCTGAGCTGTGATGCTGTTGTTGTGCCAGCAGTTGTGCTGCTGGGCTGTGATGCTGTTGTTGTGCCAGCAGTTGTGTTGCTGGGCTGTGACGCTGTTGTTGTATCACTGTTGCAGAGGTCACCCTGGCAGCAGCTGACTTCTCCTCCAATGATTCCTGAAAGCTGTGCAGTTTGTGTGTTTGAACAAATCATCTTGGAGGCGCAGCCCTTTACTTTAGTAGTTTCCCCTCCTGCATTCACTGAGAAAACAAAAATTATTCTACTGTGCTGCAAGTTTGAAAAAAGGAATCACTGAATGTTCTTCTAATCAGAAAAGAAACATACAGAAACTTAATGTTCTAGGCCTGTTACCTTCTGCTGAAATGCAGTAGTCCTCATTTCTGTTGCAGTTTAGAGTTTTGGTGCAGTCATTTCCATCACATTGCGAGCATTTTTTCCCATTTGGTGAGGGTATGCTCCAATCTATGAAGCACAAATATATATGTCATATTTGTTTCCTTGATTATTTTATCAAAGTGCCAAAAAACATCAGATATGCAAATACTGGATACTTTAATCCTCATCCATCAGGAGAACTCAGTTATTGAGAAAAAATAAATTTTCCTAAACCTGGCTCACTTTGTAACTTTTTCCACAATATTAATAAAATCTACTTATTTATCACAACAGGAAATACTATTTCAAAATACCAAGAAACATGTTGTAAATTACCAGGGACATCTTGAGAGTTGCACAGATCAGAGGTGCAACACTTGCTGTTAGTTACAACTTGGGCAAATCCAAAGTTGACTGAGCCACTGAAGCACTGATCAGGCGTAACACAAGTTCTCCCCATAAATTTAAATTCTGAACCACCTGAAACCAAAGAGGAACCATTGTAAACTCGGTCACTTCAAAAAATAATAGAAGAACTATAAAATACCATTTTACCCATATTTGAAATCATTCTGACTGAACCACACTGAGTATTGGATGGACATTCTTTTGTTGTCTCATTGCAGCTTCCAGATGGTCCTGGTATGCATTCATAACATTCCAATGGACATGCTGATAAAAGACATTTAAATAAGGAGTTAAATCAACTTTTCTTGCATTAATCGTACAAATCCTGAAACTCCAACTAAAATAAATAGATTCAAACAAAAGGCTAACAGTACAATAAATAGTACAATAATTTGTAGGAAGTAGACACATTTTTTGCTGGGTTATAAATAACATGATGTAAAAGCAATAAAAAAAAGTTTCATTGAAATTACAGAACTTTCTTTAAAATGTTAAAGAACAGATAACCAAGGAAAAACTTGCTTTTAGGGAGCAGCAGGATCCCAAGGATCAGCACAAGGATCTGCATTCTGTGATGGTCAGATAGAAGTGAAATTTAGTTTAGTTTCTGTTCAGGTTGTAAGTAATTCTTATTGGGGGAGTGGTTTCTCTCTCTCTCTGACCACAACTTAACCCTTCCTTTGACAGTGAAAGAACCTGACAATCAAATTTTTTTTTATTTGCATAGCAAATATTAGCCTTTGTTAAATTTGTAAATAAATTATCTTATTGGTAAACACTTGCATTTCACACACTTTTGGTTATTTCAATTTCAGAACTTTTTAGACATGCTTCTGAGATCCTGTGAAAGCTGGTAAAACTGAAGCATAGTTGCCATCAGTCTCTATTTAAAGGAGAAGGCTAGTCCAACAATAACACTTTGCATGCTTTGAATATGATTTGGTTAACTTCAATGACTGACTACCTTCTGGAAAAGCCACTAATGAAATGTAGTCAATTAAAATCCAGGTACAAAACTCTTGTGCAAATATACTGTACAAATATTACTAGTCTACTAGTAGAATTTTATTCTACTAGGCTAGTTGCACATTGCAGGTTGCACTCACTGCTGCCACTGCCGTATAAAAGTAAATAGAAGGAGAGAGACCCCTTCCTCTACCCTGGAAATTTTGCACTTGTTCCACAGTGTTATGACCTGGCTCAAAAGCCACAACATAAATAGGGAAACTAACACCAGAATTTCACAGGGAAGAGGGTGTAACACACAGGGATTAGACATGGTTTCTGTGGGAGCTCAATGGGTAAAGATGTTTATGATGGCTTTGTCCTGTTTTTTTAACAGGTTATATGAATGGTTATATGACTAAAATGACAGAATATATTATTTTAAATGTGAAAAGAAGTTTATAATGTTTACCAGTGTTTCTCAATGATAATAGTATTTGGCTGCGGAGTTTTGAAACCATGGTGGAGAAGGCAGGGTGTCCTCTATAGCCGGGGACCAGGAAAAACAGTGGGTATGTTCCTGACCCTAAACAACTGTCATGATCCATGATCCATGTTGGCCCAGCAGTCTTAGTATTCATGTATTTTTGTATTTTGTTCCTTATTTGATTTCCCCTTGTGACTTTTATCCCCTGTGTGCCCCTCTATGTATCTGTGAGCCCTCGTCTCCCCTCCTTGTGTTTCATTCCATGTTTCCCCAGCCCACTATGCCCGTGCTCTCTCTCTCCTCCTGTCTGCTCCTCTGTGTACTTCCTGTTTTACTTTGACAGTCTCCCGTCAGTGTGGTTTACTCTTGCCATGTCTCGTTATGTTTATCTGTGTCAGCTGTGTTCCCCGTGTGCTTCCACTTCCCTCGTTAACCCTCTGTGTATTTATGTGCATGTCTCCCTCAGTTCGGTGTCGCGTCGTCAATGTCTCCTCCCCGAACCTGTGTGTCTTTCTGTGTTCCCTCGGTCTTCTGTTAGTATTCCCAGTTTAGTTCTGTTTCGTTGTAAGGCCTGCAATAAAGCAGTGATTTTGAGTTCAGTTCCTGTCTCCGTTAGTTTTGCGTTTGGGTCCTCATCTGCCTCCACATAGCTAGTTCATGACAACAACATGCTAAGATTAATATATTTTTTACTCAATACATGAGAAGCAACCTTAGTTTTACCTTATGAGAAGAAGCATTTTCTGTAACCTGCAAATTGTCCTCCCCAACAAATTGACCTTGGTTGACAGATAGTCCTGCCCCTGTACTGGGAAGATATTGTAGTCAAGCATGGATAATGTTTCTGAGAATAAATCACATTATAGGATGAGAAAAAGGTGTGGCCTGCCTGCTGAAGCAGCTCAGAAGTGCTGCTTTGTTTACAGCAGTGGTTCTCAAACTTTTCACAATGAGTACCACCACCACGAAAAGCATACAAGTGTTAAAACAGATTTAAGATCCCTTGAAAAATTATATAAATGAAACTTGTATGTTTTGGATACTTCCTAAAACAATATATGAAAGTAATGAGAAAGTGGCCACTTTCATGAGTAAATCATATATGCCTTATATGATTTACTATATGAAGTAGGCCACATCTTATGCAAGTCTTTTATAAAACTTTACTGTTTCTTTTCCATATGGGCATGACCAGCATTATAGTAGTATTTAATAACATATACAGTTTACATGAGACAAGACAAAAGTAAAATAAACATAAACATAAAATTGGTTTAGGGCCCGGATGGCTTGGGGATAGAAGCTCCTCTTGGGTCTCTCTGTCCTTGCCCGGATGATGCGGAACCTTCTGCCGGATTGCAGAAGATGGAACAGTTTGTTGCCAGGATGCGACGGGTCCTTCAGTATCTGCGCTGCTCTAGTCCGGCATCTCCTGGTGTAGGTGTCCTGAAGCGGGGGGAGAGGAATCCTGCAGCAGCGTTCTGCTGTACGGATCACTCTCTGAAGAGCTTTTTGGTCCTTAACACAGCTGTTCCCAAACCAGTGGACTGCCAGTGAGGAAGTCCAACACCCATGCACACACAGACGGCTGTTGAGTCCTAGATCCCTCAGCTTTGTGAACGGTCTGCTGGGTACTATTGTGTTAAACGCTGAACTGTAATCAACAAACAGCATTCTCACATAGTTACCCTGTTTCTTGTACACGTGGCTGAGTGTGGTGTGCAGGACGTGGGCGATGGCGTCCTCAGTGGATCTGTTGGGTCGGTAGGCGAACTGGAGCAGATCTGTGGTGTCTGGAATGGAAGAGGAGATGATGTTCTTCAGCAGCCCCTCAAACACCTTCATTACTACCGAGGTCAGTGCAACTGGCCAGTAATCGTTCAGGGATGAGCGTTTGCTGTTCTTGGGCACAGGGATGATGGTGGTTATTTTGAAGCATGTGGGGACCATAGACTTCACCAGGGACTCGTTGAAGATGGAAGTGAACACACCTGCTAGCTGGTCAGCACAGCAGCGCAGCAGACCGCCGGTGATGCCGTCTGGCCCCGCCGCTTTCCTTGTGTTCACTGTCCTCAATGCCGCTCGGACGTCATGCTCCGCGATGCTGGTCACTGCTGATGACGTCATTGTCCTCGGTAGTCAGGCGGTAGATAGCATTAGCCACCTGGCTAACCTCGAAACAGGCGTAGGACTGGTTCAGCTCGTTGGTGAATGCAGAGTCGGCGTTGATCGACGCAGTGTCCCTGGCTTTGTAGTCCGTAATGGTGCGTAGTCCGTGCCACATACTCCGTGTGTCGCCCTGGTGGAAGCGAGACTCCACGCGCTCCCGGTACTGGCGTTTGGCATCTCTCACTGCGTGCCGCACGCTGTATGAGGTCGCTTTGTAGGCGCTCATATCGCCAGTGGCAAGACCCGCGTTGTAGGTGGCGGTCCTGGCATTCACTGCAGCGCGGATCGATCTGTCCACCCACAGTTTCTGGTTCGGGAATGTGGTGACTCTTGCAGTGGGGATAATCTCCTCCGCTAGCATATTGACGAAGCATACTGCTACTTCCGTAAACTCGTTGATGTCGACTGCGCATGCTCTGAACATGTCCCAGTCTACGTCATTGAGTGCGTCCTGTAGCGTAGCTTCTGATTGGGCAGACCAACGTTTCACCTCCCTCGTGGTTACTTCTTCCCTCCGTATGTTTTGTTTATACTGGGGAATGAGGAAGATGGCGTTGTGGTCAGACTTCCCAAAAGCTGGGTGTGAGATAGCTTTGTAGCCCTGCTTGTATGGCGTGTAGCAGTGGTCCAAAATTTGATCCCCCCTCATTGGACACGAGACATGCTGGTAAAAGTTTGGAATGACTTGTCCGAGGTTCGCTTTATTAAAGTCTCCTGCTACAATGAGGGCTGCACCCGGGTCCTTGTTTTGAAGCAAACTCAGCACATCATGTAGTTCGGACAAAGCCATACCTGTGTCCGCTTGGGGTGGGATGTAGACCACTATGCCGATGACCGAGGTGAACTCACGGGGCAGATAGAAAGGGCGGCACTTAATGCTCAGGAATTCCAGATGTGGCGAGCAGCCGCTGGAAAGAGTAGAAATGCTCCTGGCATCACACCACTTTCTGTTTACCATGAAACACACTCCTCCACTTTTGGTTTTGTTTGACTCTGCCGTTCTGTCCGCGCGGAGCACAAAGAATGAATCCGACGGAGTTACGGCCTGGTCCGGCATGGTGGGGGTCAGCCACGTCTCCGTGAAGCACAGAATGTTGCAGTCCCTCATGTCATGTTGGAAGGTGACTCTTGCTCTTAGGTCATCAAGCTTGTTCTCCAGCGATTGTACGTTGGCCAGTAGGATGCTGGGCAGTGGTGCGTGATGCGCCTGCTGTCTCAGTCTGTTCCTAACCATAGCTGGACTGGCTGGATTTTTCGTTTTTATGGGCTGATGTTTTTGGGGTTTTTTTTTTTCATTTTTTTCCCCGTAATGGTATAAACACTGAAAGGTGGTGGATTGGCCAGATGCTGGGAGATGTGTAAAAATAACTCAATTGTTTGGTGGTGGCTATTGCGGAGCTTCCACAGATTCAGTAACATTAGCAAGTGGTGGAGGCCAGCAGGTGCAACACGCTGGCAGGTGGATGA